GGGGGAAAAACAGAGAAGGAAGAAATGAACTGTAGGGACCCAACGGAAGGCAGCAGCCAGATTAAAAACCTCTGGAATTCTAGTTTGGCTCCTGATGGTGGTAGTGGCCATGTTCCCAATTCAGTTTAGGCTGGGCTATTTTCTGTGTCAAATAGCCCCCTGGTATGACCCAGTTAATGCAAAGGAGCCAGACCATCATTACTTTGAGTTGTCTATAATACAAAGGCCTTCAAAACCCTTTTGCAATCACATAATTCAGGCCTTTCTCCCAGCTCAGCAGAAAACCCCCTCATTAATTCAATACAGTGAGTAGCTCCCTTGGGCTCTGGAGGCCAGTGAAGGTTGGGTGAGGCTTTCAGGCACCAGAAAGCCTCAGTCTGTGGCCCTCAGCCACACTGCTGCCCACGCTGGCTAGGTCCCCCCAGGACCTTCCCTACCTCTCTTTAGATGCTGGATGGCAGAAAGATATTCATAGCCCAGGTACAGCTTGGCGTCCATCTTAGGGGGGACCCTTAAGAATCCACGGGCAGCGTCCGTAAACAGCAGATCTTTCCCATGAGGAGAGCCAAAGAGCTGAAATTCTGATGTCCTGTCTTTTCCAAAATGTTCCTGTTCAAAGGATAAAGAAAATAGTGCAGGAGGGAGGCTGGCACAGAGGTAAAGGGAATGGTAAAACAGACTGCAAACCAGGCAAGGGAAACAGAAAGGGAGAAACACATGAGTGCCTGAGAGTGAGGACAGTGGCCGAGGCCCTCTAATGTCCCTGTGCCTCTTGGTGTTCTCGAGTCTCTCCAGGGAGTGCTTTACTCCGATCCCAGCTGGTCTCCCTGTGTGGCCTCAGGGAAACTGTCTGTAGGGAGGGTCGTGGGGCTGCGTGTGCCAGCTGCTGCCCCTCCACAGTGTGGGCTGCTGCTCCGTGTTCCCACAGGCAGTCAGCGAGGGCTGCCTTCTTCTTGGCTGTCTGGATGCCCATGTGGCTATGGTGGCCTTCATCCTGAAGTGGCTGGTGATCCAGCACTGTGTCATCAGTGCTGGAAGTCACATGTCCTAGGCTCTTTTTTCCCTCCACACCCGCCCTGCCACTGAAGGACAAGCTGTGGGACATTAGACAGTCCCTTCCCCTTTCTGGCCTCCAAAAAAACAAAAGGCACTTTGCCTTTGACTCCAACTAACTGGCCCAAAGCCATCCTTGGCCATAGATTATGGCAGGACCTACTCATGTGCTCTTTCAAATGTCTGTCTGGGGCTGGCTGATTAGCTCAGCGGGTTAGAGCATGGTGCTGATAACACCAAGTCAAGGGTTTGGATCCCCTTACCAGTCAGCCACCGAAAGAAGAAGAAGGAAATAAAAACCCTGTCTGTTCTTTGCTTTTGCAGTGGTTGTGCATGAAATGCCACCTGCTGCTCTCCCTGGCAAACCCCCATGCTTCCTTTGGGTATACATAGCTCACCCTCCTGGGCCCAGGAAGCTTCTCAGGACACGTTTTGCAAATCAGTCCCTCTGTCCTCCCCAAA